AAAAAAAAAAAAAAAAAAGAGAGAGAGAGAAGTGCAAGCAGTGGGATTAGCTGGGATCACTACTAGAATTCGGTTGATTTTAAACTTTTATGGGTGAATTAAAACTTCAAAAATTGTAAAACATTTTTAGATGAAAAGATGACAGATGCACAAGGAAAAGCTGAAACTGGGCTAAAGGATAGGAAAGTGGCAGATGATTTTTTTTGACAACTATCAATTATTCATTTAGGTAAAAAGTGATTCAAGTTGTACTTATAAAATGAGTTTTCAGCACTCAGTCACACTTCTGAAAAGGAATCCAGGATTTTTTGTAGACTAGTGTTATTTGCCTGTTTTCAAAAGGGAACAAAGTGAATAGAAACAAAATGAATAGAAATTTGTGTATGTGCTTATGAATATATTTAAATGTAATTATAAACTTTCCTCAAGTTCCAACCAATGTCACTAACCATCCTAAATTGCCTAGGAATGCAGTAGTGTTCCATTTTACTCACAGTTCCATTAAATTACAAAAGTAAGGAATCATCATTTTAAGAAACCATTTTAGAATATCTCTGAGTCAATGGCAGTGACGAGGTATAGGTTGTAATTTTTAGTTACATCTGTGAGTAGAGTCGTATATTTACTTCTTCAGTCAGAGTGAAGTAATTCTGTGTTCTAGATTGAATTGCATTAAAAGGTCTGCTTAAAATCTTCATGCAGATTTCCCATTTTCTCTGAGAAAAATCTGTTCCTAATGTTATGCTCCCCTCCAGCATGACATAAATGGACACCCTAGAGATCAGAATAGCTAGTAAGTAGAACGATTGAAGAATAGTGTGGCACAAATCATATTGGAACAAATGTGAGATCCACATAGCAGTAACCAAATATATACTTTCCAAATCATATCACATATTTATACTCTGAATGTATCATATTCACAAGTTCAGATTTGATATTCTTTGTGGGTTTTAGTAATGCAGAATTTAAAAACTGAAAATGGCTTTGAGTTTAAGAAAATGAAGCAGAATATTCAACAAACAAGGAATCTAACCCACATTTCCCTGAAGGAATAGGGTAGCCATAATTTTTCTTTGGTTTAGGTCTCTGCCACAATGCGCACTCAGGCAAGCATAGAATCCTTTGTAGATTGGCTTTGAACACTTTTTGTGTAAACACAGGATTGTAAAAAATAATCATTGAAGGTCACTGTTATGGCTGTCTCTTCAGAGAAGCCCATGCTTAGGGCAGGAAGTAAAAATATCTAGTGCTCAGGGGGCAGGATGGGCCTCCAGGAAATTAAATCATGAAAGAGATTTCAGCTGATACAATCCTTGTTTTCCTACTTAGAATTCTAGGTCGATCACTTATTCAGTTGCCCTGCCCCTCACTCCAAATCCTTTAACTTCTCTTTCATGGAAAGTTCTTGAAGAAAGAATCTCAGTGATCTTTATCTCACAGGAAACAAAAGCTGAATTTATTAAGCACAAGACCACAAAATTTCCTTAGCTATACCCTAAATGCTTATTAGACCATTAATTTAAATCAGATAGTCTGTAAAGAATTTCATTTGTGATCCTTCACATATCCCCATAAAAATTCTTTGATACTAAATGAATGACCTTGACCTTATTCTGGGCAGAGAGATAATCTGTGTGAAGTGTTTCCCATTTTGGACTTTACTTTTGACCTATCTTACATACTAAATTGTGATGAAAGAGCTCAGCAGAGACCATCAAACTAAGGTATTGTGCTGATAAGCAGCTCTGAATAGGAGCTGCATCCAGAGCTTGGAGTACTCAGGTATGAGATTCCTGGCTCAGATGTGTGATCTGGAGAAATTCTCTTAGCCAGTCTAAATCTATTCACTGGGAGACAGAAGCAGTAATAATAACAACAAGCCTACGCATCTGGTGGTTTTGCATCATAAGGATGCGAAGAGTTGTGTTTGAAAATACTTTGTAATCTGTACAGCATCCTACTAATGTTTATTATTGTTATTATTCCTTGTTTTGAATAACAAAGCTTGTACCACTTTCATTTCCCAAGCCAGTTTTTCAGCTATATTGTGATGTTTTCTGAGTTGTTTGACATGGACAATGACTGGCGTTTTATCCCCCTCTGTTTTCTATGCACATCTAGTCTAGAAATACACAATGTAAAACCCTTGACGAGTGTCCAGTCATTTTTTTTCATGTGCTGGAGCTGGTTTATTTTTTGCATCCTACACACCAGATTTCCTTTAGACTCTCTACAGTGCTAACTTAAATTAGATAGTTCAAGATGTATGCAAGTAATTAAGTATTTGTAGTGTATTTATCTGATGTTCGTTTTATCCTCAGAACTTCATAAAACATTTGAAAATTCTATATGATCACGAGCAAGTCACTTAATCTTTCCAAGTCTTGGTTTCCTTGTTCATAAAGTGAGGGAAGCTAGGTATGGTGGCATCTGCTTGTAATCCCAGCACTCTGTAGGGACTGAAAATTTCAAGTTTGTGCCCAGTCTGGGCAATTTAGCAACTTAGTAAAACACTTTCAAAATACAGAAAGAGTGCTCGCTTCGGCAGTGCATGTACTAGAATAGGAACGATACAGAGAAGATTAGCATGGCCCCTGCACAAGGATGACACACAGATTTGTGAAGCAGTCCATATTTTTAAATAATATCTTAGAAAAAGACAATGAAGGTCACAATACTATGAAGCCCAACAGAGCAAATCAAATAGGCAAGGCAAGAAACTAAAGGGAGAAGGGGAAATATTAAAAGATCAACAAAAAGACAATAACATGACAATAATAAGTCAGTACATATCAGTTATAGCCATTAATGTCAATGGCCTCAAATCATCAATCAAGAGAAATAGACTGGCAGAATGGATTAAAAAGCAAAATCTAACAATATGTTGTATGCAAGAAACACATCTAGTGCAAAAAAGAAGCCCATAGACTGAAAGTGAAAGGATGGAAAACAGTTCTCCATGTGATAGGAGCCCAGAAAAAAGCAGGGGTAGCTAAATTACTTGCAGACAAAGTAAATTTCAAACCAAAACTGATTAAGAGAGACAAATTTTTTAAAAAAGAGACAAGGCCGCTACATGTAAAGGGAACAATTCAAGAGGAAGAGATGATAGTCATAAATATATATGCACCAAATATTAAAGCCCCCAACTATATAAAACAAATATTAAGTAACATGAAAAAATGAATAAGCACAAACACAATTGTAGTGCGGGACCTAAACACCCCACTATCAGAAATAGACAGATCATCTAGGCAAAAACCGACAATGAAATATTAGAACTGAACCAAGCTTTTGAACATATGGACTTAATAGACATCTGTAGAGTGTTCCACCCCAAAAATCAGAATATACATTCTTTTTGGCTGCACAATAGTCATTCCCTGAAATAGACCACATACTAGCTCATAGAATACACTTGAATAAATGCAAAGGAATTGAAGTTATCCACTGTATATTATCAGACCATAGTGCAATTAAGCTGGAGATCAATAGCATAAGAAACCATAGGAACTTCATAAACATGGAAATTGAACACTGTCCTGAACAATCAATGGGTCACAGAGGAAATTAAAAAAGAAATTAGACAGTTTTTACAAATAAATGATAATGCCAATACAACATACAGGAATCTGTGGTACACAATGAAAGCAGTTCTACATGGAAAATTCATAGCAGTGAATGCCCACACTAGGAAAACAGGACAAGCTCAAATAAACAACCTAATGATGAATCTTAAACTCCTAGAAAAAGAAGAGCAAGAAAAACACAACAGAGGAAATCATAAAGATTAAAGCAGAAATCAATGCAATGGAAACTAAGAAAATGATACAAAAAAAAATCAATGAATCAAAGAGTTGGTTTTTTGAAAGAACAAATAAAATCGAAAAACCCTTAGCTGGAAAAGAAAAAAATGTGAAATAATGAAAAGATGGAAATAAAGTGTTTGTAGATGGGGAGGGGAGGAGGGGGTGAAGGGAGGGCAGGGGCAAGGGGAAAAATGAGAACCAAGACATGTCATGTAGAGGTACAAATTCCCAACAATGAATGTAACTGTACTGTATCCCTAAAATGTACCAATAAACTCAATTAAAGCTGAAAAAAAAGAAAAACCCTTAGCTAACCTTGTCAAAAACAGAAAAGGCTCAGATCCATTCAATTAGGAACATAAAAGGTGAAGTCACAACAGATCCAGCAGAAATCCAGAGGATAGTCAATACCTACTTTGGGAACCTGTACTCTAGTAAAATGGAAAACACAGAAGAAATGGACAGATTTCTAGATACTTAGGAATTTCCAAAGTTGAATGAAGAAGAGAAAAAAATTCTAAACACCCCAATTTCAATCAGTGAAATTGAAAATGTAATTAAAAGTTTATCAATGAAGATAAGCCCAGGTCCTGCTGGATTCACTGCTGAATTTTACAAAATATTTAGAGGAGAACTACTGCCAATACTCTTTAAACTTTTCAATGAAATTGAAAGGGAAGCAATACTTCCAGATTCATTCCTGGAAGCAAGTGTTACTTTGATTTCCAAACCAGGGAAAGACCCGACTAAAAAAGAGAACTATAGGCCAATCTCCTTAATGAATATAGATGCAAAAATCCTTAATAAGATGCTAGCAACAGAATACAGAGGGTCATCAAGAAGATCATACACCCTGACCAAGTCGGATTTATTCCAGGGATGCAAGGATGATTCAGCATACATGAATCAATCAATGTAATACACTATATTAACAGAGTCAAGGACAAAAAGCATATGATCCTCTCTATAGATGGAGAAAAAGCATTTGACAATTCAACACTGATTCATGATAAAAAACCCTGGAAAAATTGGAATAGATGGTCTATACCTCAATTTAATAAAGGCTATCTATGAAAAACCAACAGCCAACATCATATTAAATGGCCAAAAACTAAAAACCTTCATGTTAAAATCAGGAACAAGACAAGGATGCCCACTATCACCACTCCTCTTCAATATAGTTCTAGAAATATTACCCACAGCAATTAGGCAAGAGAAAGAAATAAAAGCAATAAAGATAGGAAAGGAAGAAGTTAGACTGTCATTATTTGCTGACAATATGGTACTCTACATTGAAGATCCAAAAAACTCCACCAAAAGACTTCTAGGCTTAATTGACACTTTTAGCAGAGTAGCTGGATACAAGGTCAACACTCAAAAATCAATAGCCTTCTTGAACACAAATAACAGACTCACTGAGAGAGAAATTAGGGAAACAATTCCTTTCATAATAGCATCCAAAAAAATGAAGTATCTAGGTATCAATCTAACGAAAGATATAAAAGACCTCTACACTGAAAATTATAGCACTCTGAAAAAAGAGATTGAAGAGGATATAAAAAAATTGAAAGATATCCCTTGCTCCTGGGTAGAAAGAATCAATGTAATGAAAATGCCCATACTACCAAAACTGCTATACAGATTCAATGCAATGCCGATTGAAATTCCAACAGTATATTTCGCAGAACTAGAAAACATAATCCAAAAATTCATTTGGAACCATAAGAGACCTAGAATAGCAAAAGCCATCCTAGGCAACAGAGACATAGCAGCGGGTATAATAATTTCCAATTTGAAGCTATACCACAAAGCCACTGTGATAAAAACAGCATGGTACCGGCAAACAGTCCTGAGGATCAGTGGAATAGATTGAAAGATACAGAAACAACCCCAGGTGTACTCAGCTACCTCATCTTTGACAAAGGAGCCAACCATCCTCAGTGGAGGAAAGATAGACTCTTTAATAAATGGTGTTGGAAAAACTGGATTTCAACCTGCCAAAGATTAAAACTAGTCCCTTATCTTTCATCATGCACTAAACTAAAATCAAGTGGACTAAAGATCTAAATATTTTAAAAGGTACACTAAATTTGCTGGAAGAGAAGTTAGAACCCTTGAAGACATTGGCATAGGAAAATACTTTATGAACAAATCCTCAGTAGCACGGGAACTAGCACAAAGAATGAAGGGAGATCTCATCTTATGAAGAAGCTTCTGCACTGCAAAAGAAACCCTCAACAGAACTAAGAGACAACCTACAATGTGGGAAAAAATTTTTACCAGCTGCTCCTCAGGCAAAGGACTATTATCTAGAATATATAAAGAACTCAAAACAATCACCCCCCCAAATATGAAGACCTGATTCAAAAATGGGCATCTGAAATGAAGAGACATTTTTCAGACAAAAAAGTAAAAGCATCAAGTAAATATGTGAAAAAATGTTCCACATCACTGGTCATTCGAGAGACGCAGATGAAAACAACTTTGAGATTCCACCTCACCCCCAGAAAGAATGGCTACTATGAAGAAATCAATCAATAACAAATGTTGGCAGGGTTGTGGGGGAGAAAGGAACCCTTCTCCATTGTTGGTGGGAGTGAAGACTGGTGCAACCACTATGGAAATCAATATGGAGATACCTCACAGAACTAGGATTACAGGTTCCATTTGACCCAGCCATCCCTCTGCTGCGCATCTTTCCAAATGAATTAAAAGAATCATACCACAGTGATACATCTGTACCCATGTTTATAGCAGCACAGTTTCTAGTAGCTAAAACTTGGAGACAGCCCATTTGCCCATCAGTTGGAGACTGGATAAAGAAGATGTGGTTTTTCTATAAAATGTTCTACTCAACCATAAAGAATGAGAAGTTAGAGTCATTCATAGGAAAATGGATGAATATTGAGGCTATACTTTTAAGTGAAACAGCTAAGTCACATGTGTAAATACTGGATAGTTTCTCTGGTGTGAAAAACTATAATTGTAAATAAAATCCTAATGGTGTAATTGACAATGTGAAATGGGAAGAAAAGGGCTAAAGGTGTAGGGGAAGTGGGAAGGATAGGGAAAAGGAAATAAGGGAAAAGAAAAAAATCTGAGAAAACAAAAAAATGAAATAAAGTTTTTGTAAATAGGGAAGGGAGGAGGAAGTGAAGGGAGGGCAGGGATAAGGGGAAAAAATGAGAACCAAGACCTGTCACGTAAAGGCTCAAGATCCCAATGATGAATGTAACTGTACTGTATACCTAAAATGTACCAATAAACTCAATGAGAAAAATAAAATAAAATACAGAAAGAGCTGGGAATAGAGCACAGAGGAGAAAAGGCCCTGGGTTCAATCCCCAGTATTGCCCCCCCAAAGTAATAATAATAATAATAATAATAATAATAATAATAATAATAATAAAGTGAGGGAGTTCTTCTAAAACTTTAAATTTTTATGTTGTTTCTGTAATGTCTCATTTATTTATTTATTTATGTTTTATTTTTACTGGGGATTGAACTCTGGCCCTTGTGCTTACAAGGCAGTTGGCAAAACCACTGAGGTAAATCCCCAGCCCTGTAATATTTCTTTTAAAGGGTTAAAAAAGTACTCATAAAGATGTTGTGTGTAATAAGGATATCATATTTTCCTAATGGATGAATTTTTTTAGAAATTACTTGTTAACTTATTTTTATCCACCAACTTGGTGATTTCAAGCACTTTATGCAACCTTAATATTAAAGAAAGATTAAATTTTGATATCTAGTAGGCATTTTGTTTCAGTCCTTTCATGAATATAACATGTCAGAGTTAGTACCCTGCAAGACAACAGGGTTATTCTTTT